TTTAATAATTATTGACGTTAAAGCTTTAAAAAGTAAAAAAAAAAAAAAAAAAAAAAAATTTATTAATTTTTTTTCTTCTTTTTCTTCTTTTTCTTCTTCTTCTTCTTCCTCTCTTCGATTTCTTCTTCTTCTTTTTAAAGAATTATTATTAATAATAATATTATTATGTTGTTGCTACATATAAAATTTTTTTTTTTTTTATCTCTAGGAAATTTGTTAATAAGAATTTCTATTACGTTATAATTAATTAATTAATTAATTAATTAAGGCCAAAAATATTTTCGGTGGTTCAATGGAGAAAAAAAAAAAGTTTTAGAATTTTAGCCTGTTGTATAAAAAATTATTATTATTATTATTATTATGCGATTATTAATAACACATATTATTATTATTATTATTATTAGTCAAGGACCGGTTTTTATTACTACCTAATTATTAAATAAATTAAGAGATTTTATAGCTTCCGTCCAAGACGTAATTATTATTATTATTTACAGTAAAAAAATTGTAGATAAATAAAATTTTTCTTTTCTTTTCTTTTACACAATTACAATAATAATAATAATAATAATAATAATAATAATAATTTTATTTATTTAATTGTTATTTAATTATTTAGTTTTTAATTTATTATTAATAATTACACACTTGTAAAAAATAAATAAAAAGGCTTTGCACTGTTTATTAAATTTTCTTTTTAATAACAAAAAAACTATTCAGGCTAATTAAAAAATATTATTATTATTATTTTTATGCATATTTATGTCGTGTTATATATATTTATTAAAATAAATTATTAATAAAAAAAAAAATTTTTTTCTCGATTTTAAACCACCGAATTTAAATTTTTACGCCAACGTAAATAAATAAATAAATGATGAAAAAAGTAGAAAAAAAAAGAAAAAAAAGTTGCAAAGCCTTTATAAAATATATATATTATAAATAATAAAAAAATAGAAAGAAAAAAAAAATAAATAAATACATAAATAAAGACTTAATTAAATAAAAAAATAGTGATTATAATAAACGTATAATTTTTATTAATTAAATAAAATAAGCCTGTAAAATCACACGAATAAAAATTAATTTTCTCATTTGCTTATATGCTTATATTATAATAATTAATGTTTATATTATTATTATTATTATTACTACTACTACTATTAATTATTATTATTATTATTTATTTTGTTGATTTTTTTTTTAATATTTAAAAATTCTATTTCAAAATAAAAAAAAAAAAAAAATTGTTTTTGTTTTTAACATTTGATT